TATTATAATATTATTTTTTTAAATGCAAGTGTCTTGGTCTTTCAGCTGGAATGTTGTGTCACTCTCAGTTGGCATTGACCTTGACAAGCAAGGTGGAAACTCGCCACTTTAAGCATCTAAATTGTGTCTAATGGGGGGTCAAACACATGCACACTTACATTAAAATAATTTTCGAAAGTGAAACACCTACGATCGACAAAAGCCGACCAAAATCGAAGCAAAACAAAACAAAACAACAACGACCCCCCCCTCTCCACCAAACCCCAAAGAAGCGAATTCTGATCGATCCACCACCCCAGGCCTCCCCAAAAAGCTACCCCCCCCCCCCACAAAAACAAAACAAAAACAAAAACACAAACAAACAACAGCTAACAAAAAAAACCCCAACAACAACTACAACCAACATTTCAAGAAAGAACGAAGGGACACAGTAAGCAGGTACAAGCCAGATGGATTTAATGTCACACTCTCTTGTCATCATCGTAACACCGGACGCACACTGACGTGTATGTCAGACTTAAGCCGGGTGTCCACCAAAGCAGAATCGATCCACAATTATTTTTCATTGTTAAGGCGTAGATCTAGTTCGCTCTGTTTGTCTTCAGCATGCATGATCAGTTCAAAGATTAAGAAGGACCACGAGGCGGCAATATCAAACAACGAACGATGTTTTTCTTAAAAGAGTAAGATTGTTCATAATATTCATTTAAACCTGTGGCTTACGAATTGTCTTTGCCAATTTTCTGGGACGCCAATGACGAATAGGACTTATGATTTTTTAAAAAAAGATCGGAATTCAGAGTTTGATTTTTACTTTAAGCTGTGGTGGGGTTTACGGCTGATGAGTTTGGTGGACACGCGGGCTAACACAGTCCTTTATGTCCGTTTTATTATATTATTCTCGCTTCTCCAAGCATAATAAATTGTGACAAGCCTATTATATCAATATTATTTTATCATCCAATTTTCTTATCCTTCACCAAGACAGACGGGGGAACTGGTTTACGAAAACATGACATAAATGAATCGTAAATTTAACAACAACATGTCTTTGCTGTCTCCAATTCGTTTCTCTTTTTCTCAAATAAGTAGGGGCTTAATTTAAAAAAAAAAACGTTGCATAACATTTCGTTTTACTCTCCTCGTTTTTATTTCACAAAAAAATCATAAATTATTTAAGGACACTTTATTTATATTATTCTTGTCTCTCGACATGTTTCCTGTCAGTGGTCCAAGGCTATTGGCCATCAGTTGGGAAAACAGTGGGCTCAGGGTGACAGTACGAGGGTCAGAGCAGGAGGGAGGGGTAGGGGTTGGGAAGGGGGCGAGTGGGGTCGTTCGTGGAGCGGAGGCTCTGGAGAGGGAGATTCATCAATTTCATCGCTCTCCTTCTCGTGTTAGGAATGAAATACCGTAGCCACATAGTTGAAGACTGAAAGACTGGAGACGTCAGTGGGGG